TTCAGGGTTTAGAGTTTAGGGTTAGCGATAAGGACAAGAGCGAGAACAACAAGACTTATACGAGGAAAAGGTCCTGTCGCATGAATAGCAGTGGAACCTGTGCCATGAATCCATTCTTGCTCTGACTCTGACGGTCGTTCTTTTTGCAGGATACTGGCTGTTACGTCGCTGGAAGAACCGATGGGAGTCCGGAAATCTGAACAGTGACAGTTCAATCCAGGTCTCACCAAGACACACACACACACACTGACTGCCTGTGTGCACATCCACATACACAACTTGGCAGAACAATCGTCCGGGGATTGGACATTCCAAACATGAGAAGCTCCAGTCAGAATACTTTAACCATGAACATTGCAACTCTGCGTTTGAATTATCCGCAAGATGTCCCAAATGTCGCAAGATGGTAAGGCTCGCGGAGCCCGAGACACACAGGTCAACTCAGGTTGACAGGACTCAGAGATGAGCCGTGAGCTTGGGCTCCAATCTAAAGCCATGCCAGGTGTCCGCTTTGAAAGTGATGAACAACTACTGGTCCTGGCCTCCTGTTCTGGGTAGTACTGCTTCTGTTGAATGCGGTCGTATAGCTCACCACCTGTCTGCCGGTGCAGATTGATCTTACTCAGGGTCACCCAGTGTCCTCATGCTCTTTGGCCTACCTGTGGGATCTCTCGACATGACTTGCAACTTTGCACACGGAGCACGATGGGGTGCAATCGCTGCCTTCACAAAGCTCCAGCACCAAACCTTGGGCACACCGAACATCTGCCAGCAGGGGAGCACCCTCTTCCCGGATTTGCCCGCCAAGAAAACTGTTTGCCTTGGACGTGCTGGACCTTCACAGAATGTTTTTCGCTCTTGCGAAGAAGGTTGATCGAGCGCAGGGCTGCGAGTGTATCTGCATTGCTTGCCAGAGACATTCAAAGGCTCCAGCAGCTAAATACCGAACTAAATGCAAAGGAACACTCAATCAAGCCAAAGAGCGGATGGCTCCAGGTAGAGACTCGTCCACATCGATCAGAGACACAAGGCCTGCTGCAAGTTCTTGCCAAAACATGCCAGTCAACTTTGATACGGGCTTTCCGACAGCCTCCGACTGCGAATGTACTCTCATGTGCATCTCAGCTTTTTCAGACATACTCCAAGCACGTCCTTGTGATTTTTCGGATTTACATCCATCACCTCTTCCATCGTCCCAAGAAGCCAGTTGCAGCACATTTAAAAGTGATCTGTGCGAATCCTTGTCAACCTTGCGCTTGGTGCGATGGGACCTCCCCCCATCCACTCAGACGTGTCTCGGCAGAGGCATCCCTAAGACGAGCTGCTTGGGCGATGGTGACTGGAAAACACACTGATGCCGATCGTATGCTTCAAATTTTACTTGTTGCTCCCACCTGGATGATTTCCAAGAGTTTGGAGGATGCTGATCTCCTCGTGAATTCTATTCAAGCCTCAGGAGCTCGTGAATTGAGTGCCTAAAGCGTAAAAATCGACCGGATCATCAACATCCAGCCTGCGACCCTCAAAGAATCAACATCTGGGGTTACGGCTGGCCATATCACCAACACGAGTGTTTATGACCTCAGGTGTTGGCATGGCAGTCGTAATGATCTCGAGATTACCGGTGCTGTGCTGCCGTGCTGACACTTAGGCCCAAACTTTCAGCGCATACTTCTTTTCAGGCTGGTTTTTGCGATTGCACATGTGAACCACGGCAAACTTGCCAGTACCGATGCAATTGCCGTCATCCACCTGAAGCTGCTTCTCGCAACATCTACGAACAGCTGAAGTCGAAAAGATAAACGATCAAACCCACGAATCTGGCCTCGTAAATGCTGTCGAAATCCTCGGAGTCATAGAACTCGACGAGGGGACAAAGTGCGGAGAACGTAGAGCCCATTACCTCGTCTGGCATTCCCTTAAAGAAAACACTGCAGCTTGACTAACGGTGAGACTGAGGCCCTGGCGCACTGCTTGAGCTTCTCGCCAATGTTTGACGAGCACTAACTCTACAAGTTTAGAAACCAAACCAAACAGCTGCAGCAGCAGTGTCCTGGACAGTAGTGTGATCGGCTCAGCCCTTTATCAAGTTGCTTTCTCTGTTACATTCTGGCCTTCCACGACCCCTCTTTCTCCGCTCGCCACTCAGGCGCTGGGACTGGTCTTGTGCTCGTGTGCAGCTTTCTGGTCCATGTCTGGTGAGTGCTGCGACGTTGAAGGCGATGTGCCTATTGCACAGCTTTCTTCTCTGCTGGCAAGCGCAGCAAGGAGCTAACACTGAGAATCTTGAAGAGATGGAGCCAACTCCAGAAAGGACTCAGAACTTCACTTTCCTGCGCTTAGCGTACCGGGGCTTGCAGCTTTGGCAAGGCACGCAATTCCCTGACCCAAGCGGGCAATTCTGAGTCTCCACTTCGTGGAGCCGAGCTTGGAGGCTTTTCTGCGAACGGCAAGCCTGTAACAACACGAGAAAAGACCGTTTAAGATTTCGCTTCGCTATTGATGGGCCAGCTGCAGGTTCTGTTTGAGGTCACATTCCTGTGAACCTCATCTCAAAATCATACCTATTTTCGATCAGGTTCATCCCTGTCTGCTTAGCAGGCATTCGGGATGAGCGTCATTATCAATGAAAGCGGAGCAGGATCTCGCTCAGCCCAAGTCCACGGTGTCCTGACTGGCTGGGAGGATGTTTCTACGAGCTCACCGTGACAAGCAATTAGTTTGGCAACTAGTTAACTAGTGTTTCCGCGTGTGCACTCTCTCATGAGCGTCCATTTCGGCCTTTGGAAAAGCAGACCACGCTGAGGAAAGCTTTGATTCTGGTCCGAAGCCACCATTCCTAAATTCCTAAATTCAACATCCTCAGCAGGCAAAAGGGCGAGATGCATGGCTGGGATGTAACCAGACTCGAATTTGAGGAACCAGCAAACCTCAACCGAAGCGGACTCAAGGCTAATGCAGTCAGACCTCAACCAGGGCAAGCGCCAAATTCAAAAAGCTATCTCGAGGCTCGAGGTTCAACAAACCCCACACCACGCCTCAAGCCATGACGCCTGGCAAGCTCCAAAGTTTAGAACGAATCATGGCTGCCATGCCCGCAGCATGAAAGGTGCAGGTTGGTTGAGCAGCGGCTGCTAGAGCAAGGTGCAATGGAATCGGAGTGAGCTAAATCCGACAAATGCATGCCGGTGACATGCGTGTGCTTTAGAGCTGCAGGTGGCATAAGAGAAGTCACGCCGCCACAGAGATGTGCTGGAAACTCGTGACGGACGTATGTGAAACGCAAGAGTCGCGGCTGCACGGAAGGCGCTCCCAGGTAGCTTCGGTTGCCCCGTGCCGGGAGTTTGCTTGCCGATAGGGACTCCACTAGAGCTCCGCGGCAGTACAGTCAGTGTGCAGTCAGTAGCGATTCTTTTTGCAATAGCCCATGTTGCAGAGCTATTGTGTCGGTCCCAGTTCGCCACACGAGATCGCAACATCGCTCTGACCAAGGTTACCCACTGAACTGCCCATAGCTCGCATGCGTGGCTTCACAAGCTGAAATCGAATTAGGGCTTTCGTGTACCGAGTGCGTAACCCTACACATACCCCGGTCAATCAATCTCCAACACTCTGAAGCGTAAGGTACAGCTTCGAAAGTCCTCAATGCTCCGCACAATCGCCTCGGCTCGGAGACGACTACAACCTTCCAAAGCCAGACAATGCTGAGGGCCCCACCACGGCTTCTGGAGCAGCCCCCTCTCCAAGCCCAGCGAGTGCATGGGCCGCGGCCCTCCGAACCTCCGACGCTTGCGACTCCACTCGTCACCCGGACCGCATTCTTGCATGCGCCGCGTGCCTTCACGTCCGAGTCATTCAAAGCCAGCACGAGCTCATGCAGGCAACCGCAAGCAGGCCTCGACTTGACCCAACTATGTTTGGATCTTTAGCTTCTGTTTTGGGTAGCGACGGGCCGAGCTGTCCTAGAGCTTCAGCACAGGCTTGCCGAATGCATGCCTCGGCAGCACGCGAAGAAAGCCTTTAGATGTGGCAAAAATCTACTTGCAGGCTCAGGGGCCGATTCGTTCATTATCAGGTGGGACGCCAAGCGATTTGCGTGCCTGCCATTCATGATTGTAACTAGCTTCGATAATCTACCGTTGGCCATCCGACTAATTCTCCATGTCAAGCTGCATCTTGGCGATGTGTGCAGCCGCCTGCCTTTGTGTGAGTCAGGCTTTACCGGGTTAAAAGGTTAAACGCCGGTTTTAGACTTAGAGCTCACAAAGCTTGATGCTGTTTAAGTGTGTTGGTGCAAGGGCAGGCGTTGTGGCCATGGGGAAGTGGTGGGCGGTTTTCGCGGAGTCACATCTTCGCAATGTCGAAGGTCATGCGGCTCCCAATAAAACAGAACAGAGCTTTGCATATGTGCACCTGAAAATGGGCTGCTCTTGGATCTCTTGGATCTTTCATCTGAAGCATCCTCATGAATCCGAATCCTTCTCGAAGATGCAGTCGCGAGGCTTGCTAAAAGCTCCCAGCGAACCCAGCGCCTGCGAGCAGAGGGCATCTGACTTGGCTAAGCTTATCCCTCGCACAACTCTTCCGTCCTCCACCGCGCATCTCTTGACCGGGACATCGGAATCCTCCTCCAACCGTAGCACCAGCATTGGGACCTGATGTGGCCAACGCAGCCACAGTGGCTTACCACCTGACCGCCCATACAGCAAAGTTGCTGAGGGAACTCCGGCTGCACCCATTTTGCCCATGGCCGTGGCAGCGCTCCGTCTTACTTGGACATCTGGCGCCTCACAGCTGGTGATGCACAAAAGGGGCGTCGAGGACCTAATGCCATCTTTGATCACTGCAGGAGCATGTGCCTCTAGCCGCGCCCGAATCAGCGAGACGTGCTGGGCAGCAGCCACCCCCAAGTTGCCGAGAGTGTCTATCACAGATCGGTACACTCGAACATCGTGCTCCTTGACACACCGAGCTCTGCATGGACATGAATCTGAGAACTCTAAACTAAACCCCTAAACCCAGACCCTAAGTTTTAAACCCTAAAGTCAGGGCAAACACTTCAAGTCCTGCAGGCGTCGTGCCAAGTCGGAGATGTGAGCTTCGGCCAATGGTCCACCAATCCGCAGAAATGCCTGGCAAATATACTGTATGATAGCATATCATGAGATAATGGAACCTACTACATTTCTCTACGTTTCATCATACCACATCATGTTACGCTATGTCGAAGTCTATCCTACTCTAGCCGATCATTCAGTATATTAAGTTCTATTACGTGTTCGTGTTGATACTGTTATTGTTGTTAGCATTGTTGTGATTGTTATTGTCGTCAAAGTTATTGTTGAAATTACTATTCTCATTATTGTTATTATGATTTGTATTGTTATTAGTATTACTATTACTATTATTTTACTATTAGTATTATTAGTGTTAGAATTTTTGTATTGCTAATGCTATTGTGTGACATTACGATACAATAGAGTGGACTTTGTTATAGTATAGTATTCTAGCTCAACATCCAGTATGTTGTCTTGCAATATACGATGTTATGTTGCAAGAGATAAATGGTATCATACTATCTTCTGTTATTCTACCTTTATGATGTTACACTACATTCATTTCACTGTTACGCCACCTTAACTTACATTAGGTTACACTAGATTACCTTACAATATCTTACAATATACTACATTATATTACATTGTACTATATTCTGTGTTGTTATATTGTATTGTTTTGGGTTAAACTCTATTGTCGTATATTGCCTTATACTGTGTTATAAGCATCTTGTAAGACGCCGGATAGCCGAATTCTATGCTGCTGGGAGAATTGCTCGCCTCGCAAGCTTGCAGTCTGACGACTTCGCTTGGATCTGTAAGCTGCAAGGCCAAAGTCTCTGCTGCCTCTCCAAGTTCGCAACTGCTAAGAACTGCAACAGCCGCAAGCGTGCATGCTCAGGGTGGGCCTTCCTTTGCATACCAGTTGGTGTGTCCACCTCCTTGCCCGCCAGCAAGAAGGCAATCGCCTGAGGCACAGTTGTGTGCACCTTCTGCGGATTCATGGCTTCGATTTTTGTCCGACGTGCCTCTGCCACACCTTTGCGCACAACAATGTGCGAGTCGGTGGCACGCTTCACCATGAACTCGAATGCACTTTCCGACACCTGCATGCTGCATGGCCCGAGTAGCATGCAGCAGAGTCGAAGGAATCAGGAGCCTTTGACAGACACGCCCAGGCCGCCAGACGGATCTCAGGCTCATTGGCCGCCAGAAAGACCTGAAGGGTCTCTCCGCCCAGAAAATGCCCTTCCAAGACCTAATCCCGCCAACGGTGAGTACGGTTAGCTAGTGTTTTGGATGCGGTCAGGAAGCAACCAGGACGTCCGCGTATGGTTCGATGACTTGTTCCGGTGCTCCCTGCGAAGAACCAGAGTACCAACAATTATTGACACTCTGCGGAGTGCAGGTGAGAAGATGCCTGCAAAGCATCGAGCATGATTCGCTCCAGCGTACCATTTTCTGGCTCCGCGTCGTCATCATCTGCCGCTTCCTCCTTTGTGTCCTCCTCTTGCTCTTTGCCGCCGTTCAGCAACCTGCCAGATGCTGATTCGTTATGGCAGTCCCGATGCACAGCACCAGAGGCTGCAGCAAATGCGGATACTGTCAGGAACCTTTGCATGAGCGCAGTCGCCCCAGCAGCTCCCAATGCGATCAGCGCTGCTGCAGCTGCCATAGACACGGAGGTGTGAAAGTCCAGGAGTAGCTCGACCAAGTCGCCTCACGGACGCTTCAAGCGAACTTTGACAGCGAAAGAGATTATGACTTGGAGCCTGCATGCTTGGCGGCATCCTCTCCCAGTTCCTCAGATGCTCATCAAAGTGGGCTCAACTGCGACTCGCGGTGCGTCTCTGCCAACTCGTCGGATCTTGCCGAGACACTCCCAAGCTTGTGGCTGCTGCACGCCGAACAAAGGTCTCTGTGTCCGTCAGCTTCTCTGCAAGCATCTCCGTCTGCCGAAATCAGGCGATTGGCAACTGGGGTCAGCGAAAGGAGGAGTGAGAATATCCGGGTCGAGGGGCCAATCTCTTGAGGCTTCTCTCGCTTTCGATGCACTCCCACTGCCCTGGTCTTCTCTCTCCGAACCTGCCGGCAGCCACATTTCGCCAAGGCTTGGCAAGCCAGCTCTCGCCTTGGGTCTGCTCTTTACTTCTGAAGGGGAGGCGAAGAATAGCTTCGTTCCTCTCGCTCAGCCAGTGGCACTTTGGGGTCGCTGTCCGAGAGCAGAGGCAGAAAGGACTCTTCCAGGCTGTTTGGGCCCTGTCCAGGCAAAAGGACACCAGCAGCATGTGTTGCACTGGAATTTTTCGGTCTTTGCACGTTCTTAGCGCATGCAAGTGCCTCAGCGATGACCATCAATGCTTGCGCCCCAATGCAACGTAGCGAAACCTCTTCCGATTTCAGGAACCCGACCTTGGCACCACCGTGCTTCTGAGCCGGGTGCTAAGACGATTCGGTGCTGCTTGTATCGAGGAGGCAGCCAAGGGTGGGATGGTCTCCTGACCGGCCAGGTCTGCAACGGTTACAATTATTCTTATTACTTCTTTTCTTATTTTTTTATTATTACTATTACTATTTTATTACTATATTATTATTATTATTACTATTATTGTATTAGTATTATCTAATTCAGAACCCAGCTTGCGCCTTTGCTGTCGGACCGAGTTTGGACAGTGCACTGGCTGCGCTCCACCGCACCTGGCCGCTAGGCATCAAACATTTGGAACCAGAAGCGGAGGAAACACAGTCACCGGGGCAGGTGCAGACCGGGCATCATGTGCGAGGTTGTCTGCCAGAATGTCGGCATGCTTGGATGTGGCTGTACCTGAGGTGGTACTTCCAAACTCCTTTGGACACGGCAACAATGGATAGTTAAACATCAGAGTTAAGATTCATCTCCGAGGTGCCCAATTCAGCCAATGCTGCTGCCACGGGCGTCCAATTCCAGCTATCGATTCCTCATGGCCACTTGATGTAAGGCAGCTTCAATACACCTTTCTCTCTCTCCCTCCGCTCTCTCTCTCTCTCTCTCTGGCACAAGATGTGCCTTCCAAAATCTGTGCCATTGATTCCGTGTAGGGCTTTGCGCTTCCACCTTGATAGACAGGATGCCACTGAAGGAGTCTCACAGGGCGCGACCTCGCTGGATAACAGCTCGGCTGACGCTGCCGGGAGCCACGCCAAGCTTCCCCAGTGTCTCCTGAGTCGACCACGACTAGCTGCAATTCGCAATGTGAGCCGCAAAGCACACATAGCCCAACAGGCATCCACAGATTTTGGCGAGTCTCTATGCATCTACGGCGTGCCAATGCATCTCCGTCGTGTACGCCAGTTGCCAACAGCTCAACGTGCTCCGCAACTGCGCCCACCTCCAAAGAATCTCGGGAGGCCGGCCAAATCAAGCCCTCTTTGGCTGCATGATATGTGCAGAGCTTCTTCTGGCATCGAGCTGACGGAAGCCAGCAAAACAGAATTTATCACCTCGGCCCCCCGGTACTCAATCTCCCGGCTGAGTCATGTGCCAGGTGCGTATTTGCGAGTTCTCCAAGAGCCTCGGCAATCGCCAGTACAAGTGCCTATGCACTCCACACCCATTCGTGTCAGTTCAGTTTAGCACCGCACACGACACCCACACGCAAGCTTCAAAAGAAGAGACAGAATAGGACGGCCATCTGTGCAGGGCAGGCACTTGGGCTGAGAGAAAAACGAAAGCAGGGTGGAAAGGAATGCAAGGGAGCAACATGTGCAAAATCAGTTTTAAGCTGAGAGCGGGAGAAAAACACCGAGTGGAGCACGACTGCAGCGCTCCGTCTCACTTCTGGAGCCGGGTCCTCACGGATTCTCGACTTTTCAGAGGACATGGTGACTGGGGGTTTCGAGTTAGGGGCCTATAGGCTAAAGGGCCTAGGGGTTTTGGGCAACTTGGGTGATTCGGGGGCTTTAACCTGCTCGAGATCCTCCAGACACTTTGCCAATGGAGCTATCCACTCTCGCGCAGCATCGCCCATTTTGCCGAGAGTGTCTATGGCCAGGACCTCACATGAGGAAGGCTGAATGTGCTGCACCAGCACCACAGATCATGAAACGTACGAAGCCCCCAACGGCCCCCCCATCTTTGCGAACACTGCAATTTTTCTAAGGTTCTAACTCTCACATCCAGCTTGATGCTCGCATCCAAGAGCGCTCCTTAGCTTGCTCAGGCTCTGAGGATACGGGTTTTTTGGGTGTAACGAAGCGACGCTTTGAGGCTCCTGCCCAGTGCGTTGGCGCCGGCAACGCTCAGAGTTCTTAAGGTTGCCACCGCCTTTCCATTCCGCGGATTCCATTGCGGTCTTCTGTCTGGGGACTCCCCTAGTCCCACCTCCTTCCGCACCAGAGGCTCTGGGTCGTGAAGGCAGTGCGCCACAGCTGCTGCTTGTCCGAAGCTGTCCTTCCATGCAGCTGACAACAAGGATCGGCTCATGGCAGAAACTACTGCTGGTGCAGCACCTTGCATGTCTGACACAACCCGCATCTCCGGCCTCGCCAAACTCGCGCAGAGCAGCTGCTGCAGTCAATCGCCGCTGCAGTTGTGCTTCCTGCATCCGGCATGGAGGAGTTGTCAGAACACGGAGCAGAGGCCGCCAGCCTTCAGCTCGTCATCCAGCATGTTCATGGAATCGTGCACCGGCGGCGTAGGGTGCAGCAGAATTGGCGAAACGGCGGCCGCGCCAGCTTCTCCTGTGTTCACGGATTGTTTAAGTCTCCCCCCGGACGTGGACGGAGGCAGCACAAGAAGGCTTGAGAAACTTAGCGACCAGACCCATGGACTTGAGGGCTGCCACCTGAGATCGGGTACTTCGCAGATGTCAACTAACGGTTGTTCAAGCCCAATCAAGCCCAGCCGCCGCGGACTTCTCCAACTTCTCTGCGCCGCATCCCAGGAGGCCGGCGACGACTTGGGCGTATGGTGCAGCTACCTTCACGAGGGCATCACCCATTTATCAGCGCTTGCTCGTCCACCAAGAGTGTCAGAGCAATAAGTGCCAACAGGCCTTGCCAAAGGCACCAAGAAAGTCCACAGCACGTTGTTGCACCTCACAGACTGTGTGTTTTCGTGCCTTTGGTGCCTGCTGCATGCTGCACACACTCGTCTCAAATCTTCTTTCACACGCTTGCAGAATCTGAGCTTGACAAACAACTGTCTGTGGTCTGGCCTGCGGTGTGCTTGCACCTTGCTTCGACATTTGTCAACTCTGATGCGTCCATGCACTACAAACTACGTTCAGTAGGAACCCGGCTCTGAATGCTTTTTGCCAGTTTGTCGGGACCAGCTGGACCGATCTGCAGGAAGGGCGCAACATGTGCTCCAAACTTGGATTCGAGCACTTTCACACGAGGTCGCTTCGGGTGCCTTTGTCAAGGCTTCGAAAGCCTCATGCCAAACCATTTCAGACTCGTCCGACAGGCACTTGGCAAGCGCGGTCGCGGAGTCACTGGCACATCAATAAACAATGAACAAAGAGCCATAAAGCTCCGCAGAACATGCATCACGGCACTTGTCTAGCTTGAGCGGTCAAAGCCTCGCGGCTTCTCCGAAGCGACCCAATGCTTCCACACATGAAAGACGAACTTCAACATCTGCATCCTGCCAGCGATGCGGGCACATGCGAGGCCCAGTTCGCTCTATGCAGCACAGCACGTGGTGTCCTTCAAGCCACCTTCCAGCACAGGAATTGCGGTAGGGCCCATGTTGCACAAGCATTGAATCGCACAGGTGCGAACTGACCAGCACCTGCCGAGCTTCGAAGCTACGCGCACAAACGAACAAAATGCAGAACACCAGGACGAGAGAAGGCTCACACTCTTAAATGCCACGTGCATGCGCAATGTGCGCAGGCACAGTTGCACAGGATTGCTCAGGTCGCACGTGGGCGGGGCGACACGCACGGCCAGGGCACGGGTCACGCAGCCGGCGGGCAGCAGCAATGGCGTAGGGCGCCGCGATGGTTTCCAGCAGGGCCATGGCCTCCCAGCCACACGCCATGCACAATAACAATAATAATAATAATAAACAAGAATAATAACAATAATGCACAAGGAAGCGCAGCTTTCGAGCTCTTTCTGGGCCCCTGGCCTGAACGTGGAGGTGCCTAGCAGGAAGGGCTCTCAGACAAGAGACGGTCATAGAAAACTCTGTTAAACTCCACAGGGGCTCTGCCGAGCCTGATGTAGGGATCCTCGTTGGACATACCCGGGCTGATCATCTCATCTGCTTTGCCGGCCTGCAGTTCCGTTGCAGCTCGTTTCCTTTCACGTTCAACAGAGCGTCTGACCTCTGCGGCGTAGTAAAGGAAGTCAACAGCGCCCTGTCGTACTTCTGCATCGGAATCTTCCAACTTGCCGATGACAGCTTGTCCTACCTTCGGTCAGAGAGAAGTTCGATCCATGGCTGTATGTCAGATATATTCCAAGGGCATCTGCGGGCCTTGAAACTCAAAGCTTCAGGAATAGCACGCAAGGTCCGGAGCATCGTCGCCTGAATTTCTGGCTCCTTGGCCGGTGCAGAACAAGAAAACACGGCCGCACGTAACGAGATGCTCGTCCAGTGAATCAGCCGGCTCGAATCGGGATTCGTGAAGCCTTAGCTTGCCCTGCCTATCAGCACAGAAGTTAAGTGCTGGCAGAGTGTCCGTGCGCTCCAAGCACTCTGTGAGCAAGGTTGCGCCTATCCATCTACGGTATCCACGGCTTGGGGTGCAAACTGACTTTCCTGGGGACTGCGTTCAAGCTGACGTGGCCTGTCTCCCCCATACACCCCAGCGCTCGGATGCAAGCTGTCCTCATGGAAGACGCACATCAAAGGACACGGCTGCGTGACCGCAAGCACAAAGCCGAGGTATCGACTGGAGCTTGAAGGTTGGCTGCTTCTGCCTCTGTGCGGCCACGGCCTGGTCCGATGCTCGTTTCGACGCGCTCTCACACCTCCCCGCACGCTTCTTGTGAAAAGCTCAGTGTCCGAAACTCAAACCAAAAAACAACAGGCCTTCGCATCCGCATAGCCTCCCAGGGATCATCAACGCTTTTCCCCTCTATTGCGTGTGAGATGCTTCAAACTCGCCTAAATCCAGTCCGTCGGATCTGGGCAAGCGGGGCAGCCTGGACAGACCGAACAAGCTGTGGTGCTCTCGCAAGCCCTAGACTTTGCAGGACCCATCCTCGGAGGGCCATTCTTTCGCTTCGAATCTCGCCCGACGCTCTTACAGCTTTTCTTTATAATATACAATATATAATATATAATATATAATGTAGCTATACTCGTAAAGTTCTAAAGCGAAAGGGTCGAAAGATCCGAGGCTCCAGCTGCCAAGCTTCCCAGTCGTTTCGGCTCTTCCGGGGGCCCGGTCGCTGCTGGCATCCGCTGGGCTCTGCCTTCAGTAACGGTTTAGGGTTTAGGGTTTTGGGGTTTTAGGGTTTCCGACATGGACCTGGCACAGCCTGAGGTGTAGTCTGAGTCACAAGCAGGACTGAGCGCAGATGCCACAGTGAATCGAGCAGCTTGCCTTAGATGTGAACATGGGGCAAACGACCAATGACTCCGCGAGAAGAACAGCTGCAGAATCTGCATGAACTTGCAGGTGGCTGTATCTAGTATTCCTGAAATTGAAAAATAATGGTGACCTTGACTTCCATCAAGAACCCCTTGCGAAGAAGTCAGGTGGACAGGGCAATCGGCACCACTAGACTGCACACTGCAGCCTGGATGCTTGCGTTCTGCTATTTCCTTCAAGTTCAAGGCATACAAGCCATTAAGAACGGGCACACAGCTTACACAAGTCTGAAACCGATCTCCTGTGGATCACTGGTGTGGGTAGTTGAGCCGCCTCTGCCAGGAGCTCATGGCTGACATGCGAAAGCACGGAGATCAACGCAACTCTGAAGTGTAAGCCAGGTGCTGAACAGCCGGTGAGCCAGTAAAGGCGCAGCGGACACAGCTAACCTGAAGCTTATTCTAGGCATCACCTCTCTCCTCTTCGTGCAGCTGTGTGCAAATGGAAAGGCCGTTGTGATTTACAGCAGATCCGGGTCCCTGGGAGTGAAAGGGGCGATGGTTCAGAAAGATTTGTAAACCTCAGGAGCCCAGTGTGACATTGGGATTTGTAACGGGGCGTGATGAGATGGATGAGTCATGATGAATCCACATCACGATCTAGTGTGTCTCCCCCAGCGATCATTTTGCAAGAGAAACGGCGTTGAGGAAAACATGTTGCCAAATTACACGAGGCTCATTGTGTTATTTCGAAGGCGGCCTCCAGACAAAAACAGCGCTTTGCATGACTCTCTGATGCAGCTCCTTCGATCCTATGTACCAGTTGATCTGTTGCCCATGATCATGATTCATGATGGTGCAAGGCAGCAAAGCATGAGCCGATCTGAGCCCTTGGCAGACCCAACTCTGCCAGAGCCGTGGCCGCTGCAGTCTGGACTTCCACATCTTCCTTCAGAGACTTCAAACGCGTGACTTCAACGGATCTACGGATCTGCGACCCAACCTCGCTTCCCTTTCCCTCGACTCCAAGGTGGGAGACCAGCAAGTCCACCTTGGAATGTGGACATTCATTTGGCCCTCCTAAAATTTGGGAGGGGATTTCTGAAGAGCGCACGAATGGCACTGCTGCTTCTTGTAAACCTCCGAGGGTCAGCAGGACCTGAGTGTAACTTCCCAAGCCTTTATTCCATGCGGCATGTCTGAACGTCCGCCCATCGATAGTTCAGGTCGCTCATGGCGTCAGCCGAGATGCTTCTAAGAATGTGCAAGAGCCGATTATCGCATGACAATTTTAGCACTTCCTCGTTTGCCCACTGTCCTGGCAAGCGACTCGAAGCTAAGGCCCGATCGCCTCAAGCCTTCTTCTGCCCGATACCGCGGAAGCTTTGCTTGGCCCCAGGCCGTCTGCCTGAAGTCTGGCGAGCTCGCACCAGCAAACCCTGCAAGAGCCTCGGATGTAAAGAACCACGGCTCAGAGCCAACGGACCTTGAGCCCCGAACCTGCGCGTGAGGACCTGCAAAATTCGGCCCCACTGCGCGTAGCCCATGGAGGCAGCCAGCCTGGACCTCCAGGGAACTCGAGTTGGAATCGGAACACAGCCGGAGGAGGTACTACTGGATGCTGAGCGAGGTTTGGGATTTACATTTTGCTCGACGTGCCCCGCGGCCTCGGGGCTGTCGTCTTCTTCCAGCAGGCCTGCCAACTTGTTCGCCACGAGCATTGCCTCGCGCCCGGCTGCGGAAAAAACACTGGCGCTGGAGAATCACAGGACACGCTCCGGACGCCGACATGACATACAATTCAGAAGAATCACAACTAGCAACAATAACGGATTACTACCACCGCCACGACGACAACTAGGACCACTACAACGACAATGACTCTGGCTGCCTCTACTGCCACGGGCACTACTAATCATCAAAAACATCATATGGTGAACCCCAGAAGGTTGAAACATAACTACGTAGACAAAGAGCATGAGGAGACTCATGTTCCAACTTCCTGGCGTCGACTGCAACCAGAATCATCATCATACAACATAGAAAACCCGAAACCCTAAACCGCTAAACCCCTAAACCCTAAACCCTACACCGCTACATAGAAAGACAGGAGATCCAGGCGATCTCGCAGCCTAGCCTGGTCGGTACCCCTTCTGCGAACGAGGCCGCTCTCGACCTTGAGTTGATACAGCTTGTCCTGTCGCTCGTAACTTCTTCTCTACCTTGCTCTCGAGATGGGGAAGTAATGCAAAGACTTCGTTTGAATTTCATGTGAGCAAGAGGTGCAAAGATGGATGACCTTGGAAGCTCGAGCCAGTTTCGGTCCTCTTCCTCGGCCTTCTCTGCCGGTTGTCCGTCAGCGGATTCCTGCAGATTTTGCGACAGTAGGCCGTGAGACATCGGAAGCAGAGTCCGAAGATGTGAAAAGCCCGCACCTGCGCCACTTGCTCGGCCGCAAGAAGGGCAAGCGTCATGCATGCTGCGCCGCGCACTTCTGGTGTGCTGTCCTCTCACTTGGACACTGCAGCAAGTGCGAAACTTGTGCTACTTCTGGTGAACGCAACCCGGGGCCAGAGATCTCACCAAGCAGCTCGAATCCTTCAGTGCCCGCATCACTGCTGGACCAGCTTCTTGGGTCACCGGCAGCTTGCACAGGACTTGCAAGGCCTTTCTGATGCCAGAATGCACTTGGTGGGTGCAAGCGCATTCCGGTCCCTCCCAATTCCCATGCCTCCAAAACAGACCGTCGGTTCGCTGCATTTGGATCCTGGGCTTCAGAGGTCTGCGCAAAGCCGACAAGACCACGTACGGCTTGCTTTGCGCTCGTGTCGTTCATACTGCTACAGCTCGCACAACATCACTCAAATCCAGCACAACTAAATAGCTGGTCCTCCAGGCGTGCAGCAAGTGCAAAAATTCCAGGTCGTCCAAGTTGGCCTAGGGCCTTTTACAGGTCGCGGAGGATGCAAGCGTTGCTACCACTGAGATCAGAGCCCGATGCCTGAACTCCCTCTTGTCGCACACTGTCGTCTTCATCCGCCAGCGCAAGCGATACGACCGTTGGAGCATGGTCGGCCTGGGGTGGTTGGTGGGTTTGCAGGCTTGTTGACAAGTTGACGAGGCAGCGCTTTTCCAGTGGAAGACAGTCATAAGCACACGACAAGGCGAGCAAGGTGCCTTTGCTGTCTAAGGCCCCAGCTGCACCCTCGCCGATGCATCCGAGAGCGTGAATGCAGGCAGCACGCATGGGCACGGACGGGTCCTCGTGGAAACCAGGAAAGTCTGAGGCTTCAGTCAGGCCTTTGGGCAGGCTGAGCCTTGAGATTTGTGTGGAAGAGCTGCCCAAAGGGGCTGGCCGCTGCTCCTGCAAAGCTTCGCGTTAGCAAAGGATTCTGCTTGGAAAGTCTGCAAAGCACTGGGGCCCGGGGCCTTGAGCTGCCAAGGCTTGGATCAGCAGCCTCCTCACCTCCTCCCTCTTCTCAGACTTGAAGGTTGATGCAATATCTTTGGCAACACTTTTTGGCAGCTGACCCAGTTGCCCCAAGGACTGCGCAGCCGTTCTCCTAAGATCCGGATCGAAGCTGGTCAAATGTCTTGCCACAGCCATCGCGTGAGTGGCTGCAGAAGCTCCCAACTTACCCGCCATTGCTACTGCCATCTTCGAGACCAGCAGGCTTGGATCCTGCAGAAGCTTGGGAAGAACTTTGTTGGAAATGACCGCATTGGAAACCACACTCAACGCCTGGACCGTGCGCTGCCTCACTAGGTCATCCGGGCAACTTGCAGACTCGACAATGCCATCGACCAACTCTGCTCCGACGCTCCCGAGCGCTTCGCAAATTTCCAGTGCAGCACATTTCATTTCCGGACGCGGATCCCCGAGAATTCGAGGTAGCAGCTCGTGAGTCACATCTTGCAAACCAACCAAAGCCTTTTGGGCCGCCTCCATCTCTCGAGATCCTGTCTCACCTTCGCAGAGTAGCAGGTAGTCTGTCAGAGCAGATGCAGCGGACTTTCCTGCTTCAGCTCCAAGTGTACGAAGTGCTTCTGCAGCAGCGATTCGAACTTCTGCATGTGTCTCAACGGTTCTGTCCAACAACTTCGCCAGCATGTTGGTATAAGGTAGTGCGTTTGGACAGCCTACGTAGCCAAGAGCACGAGCCAAGCCTGCGCGGAGTAAGGGATCCTCCGTGCTGAGGCCTTCTGCAATCGAATCGGCGCAAGAGCTGCCTACACACCCAAGAGCGACCTTCGCTGCATGCTGTACGTTGGGTGAGGGGTCGTCCAGCCGGCGCACCACGAGGTGTATCCACGGGCTCACAAATTCATCGGGGCACTGCGACAAGCCATGCAATGCAGCAGCTATGCGCAGACTCCGCGCACTAGTTTCGTCCTCGTCTGAAGCTGGTATGTCCTCTTTCAATAGACTGCCCAGCACGTCGGCACCGCCTGCAGACGCGGTGTGTGCCTCTGCTGTTGCTGCTGCAGCCCGCACCAATGCCTGCGCCACGATTTGATTCCAGAGCCCGGAACTCCAGCATGTGCCAAACCACTCCTTCTAGAATTTATGCCGATGCAGTCTGGCATCCTGTTTATCCTGTTTACCATCAGGGGTTTGGGTGTTTCTGCTTCTGCTTTCCTTCCTCCCCTCACTGCAAAAACACACAACAATCAAGACTTTGTTCGATGCCGATTCAGCAAGTCAGCTTTTGCTGTTTGCAGCTGTTTAAAATCGGGTCCAAATAACCTCCGAGGATGCACGTCGTCCTTTGGACCGGGAACGGCATCCGCGCCAGCTTCGCATAGCTTCGCAAGCAAGCAGCATTAACAGCAGCAGCTCACTTTGTTGAAGAGCCGGTCTGTCCGTTGTCTTGCCATCCTGCACGAACGAGAGAAAGGCTACCACATGGGACTGCTAGTGACTGCTTGTGGTCTGTGTTTGTCACTGATCAGACGAAAAATCCGCGAAGGATTTCCAACACAGCCGGCATCGCTTTGCAAGCGGCAGATTGCTTAGATTCCAGCGGTCAGGAGAAACAAGTTACACACGAGGGACTAGGACATGTGCCTCGTGGCAATCTCGCTCGCTTTGGCCGAGATTGCTCGCTCCACCTCAGTTTCCACATTCTCAGAACTGCGAAACACGCTACATGTAGCCCATCTCTTCAGTACTCACCCCAGAGCAGAAGTATGACAAAAGGATCGCAACTTTTTGCTGGCTGGTTATCACATCCTTTACAGACTCTTTTGGAATATCCACACCTAGTGATGAAATCTCGGGAGGAGTAGCGAAACAAACGCAACGAAGCTCCATGGCAAGGTACATGTCAGAAGACCGAAGCAGGGCTTTTGCATGACAGAAAAGGGCTAGTCACTGACCTAGCTGCTTCTCCTTTGCACTTTGCACATATAGTAAGACACCAGCGGAAAGTGCACCACAGGAAACACAGGGAAATGTGAAAGGCAGAACAAGCAAAGTGGGGCGGGCAAACAGCGGAAGACGAGTGCCGCAGGAGCACGAAGCCACGGAATGTCTTGACAGAGAGGATCATCTCTGCAAGCGCAACATCCGTGCGGAAATCCTTGATCACGACCTCAGGGGCACGGGTGCAAATGCTTGGCGCATAGCTGTTATCCGTTTACCCGTCGGCACCTGCCATTGTGTCACAATGCGCCCAAGCAGACCAAACGACGTCTGTACTAATCACAGCAACAAGAACCACCACAACTGTCATCACAAGCATAGAAGACTGTCCCAGCGACGGCCGCGCGACAGTCAGACGGACTCGATGTTATTCCTCATCGGAGTTGCGAGAATCAATAGGAAAAATGACAGAAGCAACACAATATCGCCAACAATCTAGCGACGTGTGCATGTGGGTGGATGTGCGCCTCTGCGGTCTTTTCTTTGTCGAGCAACATCGCGCAACCAAGATGTGCGGAGAGTCTTTCCCTGGCAAGTATTTCTTGCTTCCTGTACAGGTGCATGTGCTGCTTTCTGTTGCTTCTTGATCCCTGGTAGGAGCATCGATTGCGGAAGCATGTTGAGCTCGTTTCAAGCCGGCCATTGCTAGGTTACGAGCATCTGACATGCGAGAGCGCTCTTCGCATCAGCATGAGCCCTAGATCGATGAGGGGGCAGGGCATGTCCGTGCTTCTGCCACGAGCAGAGAGCCACGCAACCGAAGGAGGGCTCGCGAGCATCTCCGAAGTACCGCGATGTTTTCGCCCTTCTTCTTTCGGTAGGGAGCTCGAATCGCCGACCGGAAGAATGGAAACCACGCAACCATCGCGACCCGCAACCCTGCAGCAGCAAGAGACATTCGCTGAGACATCACCAGACTGCTGGGCAGTTGACAATGCGTAAATGCATTCCAGCAGCTGACACTTCTTCGACATTCAGCCTCAAAGCCGTTGATCCGAATCACGCGCAAAAGCCGTGAATCAGTGAAGGTTTGTAACAATAAGACTCCGGTGGACAAATAAGTGCATCTACCATCTTGCTTCTCTTCAGGACCTCAGAGGTTAAGTCAGGGGCATGGGCTAGAAGGATGATGGAGTCAGCTGATAAAGAACCCCCCCCAACAGAGAAACTGGGTTTAGAGGTTGGGGTTTTAGGGTGTGTGAACATTGGGCCTGATTTGCATGAGCTTCGGTATGCAGTCTCTTACACGGGTCCAGCAACCTGCCATCCTTGGGTCTACGTCATCTTGGGCTAGCTTGTCGCTTGTGGGAGTGAAATCCGGACGCAAGCTCCAAACATCTTGAAGATTTAGATGCGGCCATTGCAGCCCACATGTTTGTCAATGACTCGTTCCTATGCAGCTCCGCTATACAGTACACCTATACACCATCATGGGCATCCAGAAAACTATGGGTCCCCTGTTAGGGGTCCTATTGTAGTAAGGATCTTATTGTTTTGGGTCTACACCAAATCTTTGGGCCTGAGTAGTGCGTACGGGTTCTGTGGGTCGGAAGGGCTTAAGCTTCTGCAGTTCTTGGAAGTAGTTGTGCTCATGAAACGAGCAGATTAGGGGTTCATGGCGTTCTGATCATATACACACATACATACATACAGACAGACAGACGGGCAGACGGACAGACAGACAGACGGACAGACGGACAGACAGACGGACAGAACTCAGACAGACATACACATACATGTACATATGGCGCATTTGTTTGCTAATATGCATATGTAAATGTACGAGTACGCATTCGTGGATATTAGTAGATATCAGTGCATACAAAAAGAGGTAGCTTATATATGTAGATATACTGTATGCGAATCCATGCTCATGATATGCGCCAGTGTTTGATCGTGGCACAACTGTGGCCTGAGTAGCAAGGATTCGTAGCCAGTGTTGCAGTACAGAGTCCCCCTCGGACTTCCTTTACCAATACAAAGCTTGTGGAAGCTTACCCTATTCTCGGATTCGGTCAGAATTACTGACTCTGAAGCTCGTAGGATGCTTCCTGTTTTTTGGGATTTGTGGAAAACTACAGGGAACGACATGCTTGCATAGGGATTTACGTATATGCAGCTGCTGAACTTTCTCAACAAAACTGCGGCTTGTCGATCTAAAATTCTTGAGATTCGCGGAAGCTTGCACGACAGGCGATTCGGACACACAGTGCGAATCTTAAGATTAAGGAGCAAGCAGGGTATGTATGGGGCTAATATGGGTCCCATATACTCACCGCGTCATGTCAGCCAGGATACTCCTTGATCAAGTCGACGGTGACATCTACTTTGACAGTTCTTTGGGTTGCAGTCTCCAGCCGCAGCATCTCCTTCGACACAGCACTTTGCTTAGTTGAAGAAGACTAGGTGAGCACTGGGTCTTCGGTTGGAGTCCTTTGCCGAGTCAGCGGCAGAAGAAGCTGTTCGTCCAGCGGACACCATGCCGTTAACGATGCTCTTGGCAAGGCCCTTGGTCACGATGTGAATAGACTCCAAGATGTGTAGCTGCATTGACTGCTGCATATTGCAATGCATAATGTGCAATGAACTTAGTGAGAGACAGCCTAAACCTCTGGAGACTATCTGCCTTGGTTTCAGGCCAGTGCAGAGTTTACCTCGCCCCTCACCGGGCCTCACTCACTCCCGCCGTTTTGCAGCCGGCCGCAGCACCCTTTGCTGCCGCGGCACCAGCAAGCTGCGTCTGGCAAGGAGGAACTATTTGTCAGACACGCGACACCCAGAACATTTGGTTGAATCACTTGCCAGTAGTAAGCTTTCTTCGATCACCACCCCCACCAATGACTCTCTGGTTCTTAGTAGAGAATGGGGGAATGGATCCCCATGATAGTCCCTTAAGGTCCCCTACAGAAGTCAGATGAGGCCCGAAAGGGTTGGAGCTCCGTCTGGCACGCTTACGGCTACTGCTACTGCTACTGCT